ATGGCACTTAACAACAACAACAATACAGGGCAGAGTCCTGACATAGCACTGTGGGTTAATGCGCCAGACTGCAAAGTCATTTGAACTGCAAGGTCAGTGGTTCAAGCTCACCAGCTGCTCCTCAGAAACCCTATACAGGGTTGCTATGGGTCCAACAACAAATACAGGGCACACATAGACTATCAAACATTGCAAAAATCACACAAACAGAAGACATAACACATGACTGGAACATACTAAAAATTAGAAATTAATGCACCTCAAAAGATTTCACCAAAAGAGTAAAGAGGGAGCCCACAGAATGGGAAACGTTTTTTGGCAACGACAGATATGAATGCAACACAGAGGCAGGGTATAGTTTCAGAGATACATAAATGCTCTTTTTCTCTACTCCAGTCATACCTGGATTGCCCTCATTCTACTACCTCCTTCCGTTCCTCCTCCCCACCACCCTGAATAAAATAAAATACAATAATAGCAGCATGCTAGAGTACCCAATATGCTCGATGTGCAAGCTTGGTTAAACAAATTACATTGACCTTTAATAAAAATGTGCAGAATGCTTCCTTCTCTCATTCGCTATGTTAATCTCCAGGCCAAACCACCAGAAGTGCAAGCCTCATTAAGTGTAAACCTGATCATGCTGCTGTCCTGCTTAGCACCTTCAGTGGCTCCGCCGTGGCCTACAGCATGAAGCCCCAGCTGCCAACCGTACAGAGGGGATCATTGGGCTGTGGCCTGTGCTGACTCCTCCCCTGCATGTCACCCACACTCTAGCTGTTCCCCAGTCTGCTCTTTCTCTAACATGACTGCCCTTGACCTCCTCCTCTCCTGTTGGTTACATAAGACTTTCTGTGCTCGAGATGTAGTTCATGTCAGTGCCTTGATTAATCCTGAGTCTCACCTCCAGGCAGAACTGACAACCTCTCAGTACCCACTCCAGACATGTATCACTGTCTACCTCCTAGCTGCAGTCAATTTTTTCCCACTCATTTAGTACCAATGGTGGTGGTGGTAGTAGGCATCATCGTGTCTGTATATTCTGGGACTCCTGGTACGGTGCTCTAGGACAAGCACTGTGTACGAATAATCATGGCTAACAGCAGGTTAGTGATTCATACCCACCAGTAGTCCAAAAGTCTGTAAGTCATGCCTGGAACAACAGAGGAAGAATCACAGTCAGAAATAGAAGGTGGATATTGAATTTATGGCCAATTACCTCCACGAACAACTGCCTCATTTGCCCTGAGACCAGAAAAACTGGCTGGATCCCTGTTACTTTGAGTGTTTTGATCAAAGAGTCTTTAAAAGAACACTGGTCAAAAGAGGGGGATTATAGAACAGAATTCCAAAGTCTCATGGGATCCAGACTTTCTGGAGTCATGAAGATTGGAAGAACCTCTTAAATTGTTTACTCTGAGATCAATTTTAAACCTTAAACCAAAAATATTCCTTGAAGTCTTTTTTTTTTAATCTATAATTTTATTGTGGTTTGGGTGAAAGTTTACAGAGCACATGAATTTCCCATTCCACAATTTATACACATTTTGTTTCATGACATTAGTTGCTATCACAACATTCTTCCCACTTCCTCCTTGGGTCTCCATTAGCATTCGCCCATCTTTCCTAACCCTTCCTACCTTTTAAACTTTGGTTTTGGGCAAATGCTGCCCTTTCGGTATCATGTAACTGTTGTGAATAACATACTTCTCACAAGAATTATTATTTATAGGTCTGTCTATTGTTTGAGTGAAAGGTAACCTTCGGGAGTAGGTTCAGTTCCCAGTGGTAAGGATGTCTAAGAACCATAGTCTCGGGGGGTCCACAGTCTCCCTCAGACCAGTAGGTCGTAAGTTTTGTGATTCTGAATTTCATTCTACATTGTTCTCCCACTTTGACTAGGACCTTCCTGCCTTCTGAGTTTTATCGCCAGGCAAACGCTGCCCTCTTGATCTCGTGTGGTTGATTGGTATCATTGTTGGCCTTGAAGGCCTGTGTATCATTGGCCAAAAGTTGAGCCACGGAAATTAGTTCCCTCTGAGCTTGAAGAGTATCTAAGGGCCATAGTCTCGGGGAGTCTAGCAATCTGTCAAATCAGTAAGCCTGGTCTTATTTATAATTTTGAGTTTTACTTCACTTTTTTCTCAAACTCCATCCCAGACCTCCTACCGTGGTTCTGTTCAGAGCAGTCCACTGGTAGCCAGGTACCATCTAGCTCTTCTGAACTCAGGGTCATGAAAGCCGGGGTTCACGTGATCCGAGGAAAGGCATCTCTAATTTTCTTCACTCTCTGTGAGAAGTGGGGCGAGACCAATAGTCACATCTTAGATGGCCAATCACAAGCTTTTAGACCTCAGTTGCTACTCACCAAAGAAAGATGAAAACATTGCCTTTCTAGACTATGTTATGTTACTTGACCTCTGAGACTATGGTCCTGAACCCCCCTCCCCCCAACGACTCATTCCCTCAAGGTGTTTATGACTAAGAAGTTTGCATAACTTTGCCCCCCTGTGTGTTCTATGGACATGCACTACAAATATATCCATGAATAAACTAAACAGCCCAATTACCCCAATCCAGCTGATCTACTAAGCACATCAGCCAACATTGAGCCCACTTAATTCATTGCATTCAGATATATTACATTAAAGATTATTGAGACTTCAAATACGATGTGGCTTTAGAAAGCTAGTGGAGAAATCTATTATCTTTAAATTTCCTTTTCCTCATAACCTGTAGAAATATCTTCTGTCAAAGCAATGTATGTTCATGGGTGTAGTCCATTCACCTTCCCGCCCGTTAGTTTGAGTGTCTATCTATGTAACCCCTCTTAGATTATTACTACTGTGATTGCAGTGTTGTGTTTACCTCTGTTGCCTTTAACTCTTGGGTTTCTCCCAGTGTCTTCCCTTCTCCCCTCCCCGTACTGAATGTTGCCTTGCCCTTCACCTAAGTTAATGGCACTGTAGGATTAAGTACTGGATTGTTAACCACAAAATAGGCGGTTCAAACCCTCCAGTCGTTCCTCAGAAACCCTATACAGAATCACTATGAGTCGGAACCAACTCAACAGCACTTAAATACCACACCGTCTAGTTACTGATTTCCCTTTCTGTCCTTGATCAACCCTGATAACCATCAAAGAATTACTCTTTCTGTGCTTTTTAAAATTGTGTTCTCATGCAGTATGTGCCCTTTTGTGACTTATTTCACTCAGAATAGTTCTTCCAAGTTCATCCATGTTGTGAGATGTTTCATGGACTCCTTTTTTCTTTAATGTTACGTAGTATTCCATTGTGTGGTGTTTCATCCAGTCATCTGCTAATGGGCATGTTAGTTGTTTCCAGTCTTTTGCTATTGTGAATATGACTGCAATGAACATGGGTGTGTTTTTATCCAGTTGTGCCACGGCTCTTGTTTCTCTAATATATCCCATCTAGTGGTGGAATTAGGAGCTCTAGTAGCATAGGGGTTATGAATTGGGCTGCTAATCTCAAGGTCAGCAGTTTGAGACTACCAGCTGTTCCTCAGGAGAAAGATGAGGCTTTCTGCTCCTGTAAAGATTTACAGCCTTGGAAGCCCTGTGGAGGGTCTCTATGAGTTGGAACCAACTCCACAGTATTTAACAATATAATAATGTCTAATACGGTTACGAATCGGGCTGCGAACCACAAGATCAGCAGTTCGAAACTACCATCTGTTCTGCAGGAGAGATATGAGGCTTTCTGCTCCTGTAAAGATTTACAGCCTCAGAAACCCTGTACAGAGTCGCTATGAGTCAGAACCAACTCCACGGCACATCACCACCACCAACTACCAATGACTGTAAACGTCTCTTAATGTTGTCTTTGGTGGCCTGTCTGTTCAAGTCCTTTGCCCATTTTTTTTTTCCTTTGCCCGTTTTTAAGTTGGATTTTTTGTCTTTTTGTTGAGGAGTTGGAGTTGTCTATGAATTGTAGAGATTTGTTCCTTGTCAGATATGGGACGTAATAAAAAGAGCCAAGTGATGAATTTGCAAAGTCAGTCTGCTGTGTTGACACCTGATCTGATTCCTGAGGACTGTCCCATCAGCGGGTGCTCTGGGCACTGTGACTGTCATGGAAACATCTCATCACACAGCCACATCCCCGGCATTACTTCTCGGGGGCGCTTTAGGAAGGTCCCGGGGTGGCACAATTTGTGCTCAATCATTAACCAAAAGGTTGAAGGCTCAAATTCACCCAGTGGTGCTGAAGAAAAAAGACCTGGCAAGAATGACGTTCTGCTCTGCAACACATGGGCCACCACGGGTCAGAAGCAAGTCGAACAACACTGGGTTTGGTTTGTTGTTGCTGTTTTTATTTGGTGTGACAGAGAGGAGATCCACAAAAACTGAAATCCGTTGTTGAACTTAACTATTGAGTCACGGTAGGATTTGGCCTGATGTGTTGGTTTTTTTAAACTATTTTCTGAGTGTTCTAATAGTAGTTTCTAATGAGGAATGATGATCAGGCAACTTTTCAACTGGTTCTGGAGCCTTGAGTTATATATTTCACAGTGATGTAATCCTTGTGGGTCCAAGTCTCACAAGACTATAACCAAGGGCTTGACATTTCAAATATCCCTTCTGGGAGGTTGTACTACCATCATTCAGGAGGACTGTGATCCCTAGCATCTCTGACCATGGGAGCAGAAATGACATGTGCCTCCTCTGGGATGAGACCTTTCAGAGCTCAACCTGTGTGCCACCAGGCTCACTTTCCCTCCTTTACTGTGATTCACAAGGGTCCAGAGTGCAGACCACAATGACATGGAGGGATACCCTCGGTCAACCTGGAATAGACCTTTGCTGTTTAAAGTGCCTGACAGGTAGACTCTTTTGGAATCAATACACAAGGGGGCTTCAAAAAGTTTATGGAACCATAATGGATATGTGTGTGTGCGTGTGTGTACACAATCAGAAAAAACAGCTCCTTTTCCAGAAATCCTATTCTTAAGTCTTTCTCATTTTTTTCCTCTAGATGATGCTTATTTACTACAGGGACTTAATATAGAGGAACTATATCCAGAAACCTCTAGTTTCATTACTTACGATGGGTCGATGACTATCCCACCCTGCTATGAGACAGCAAGTTGGATAATAATGAACAAACCTGTCTATATAACCAGGATGCAGGTGAGCTTCTCTGTGGTCCTTTAGCTAATGGGGAGGGGGATGTGAAGACGGGCTGGGTTTGTGGAGTGGCCAGTGTTTAAAGAGCCAGCATCTTAGGAGGTTTCACATGAACTAACTGTAGAAGCATCCCACCTGTCTGAGTGACAGAAGACGGCATGGTGAGTTCTCAACGTGTGCTCTGTGACGCAGTGTTCATCAGACAGCCACATACAATGGACGATGGCCTCAAAAGCTAAAGAGAATTACTGTTTCAGGTGCTAATCCGTGCCAGTCTACAAAATGATATGCAGCATTTCACAATCTTCAGGGCATCTCACAGAGCTGGAAGGAAACTGGAAATCCGCTCCTGGTTCCCACTTTGTTAATGGTTCATTGTGCAGTCCTAGGTCTGAAATGAATACACTTCTTCTATATGAAGGAGGTCAATTCGATGAGCTAGACCCAGCTCTGGCATTGTCTGTTTGTGAGAGTCTTCACAAACTCAAAGGAAAGATGAGCAGAATCCCATCTCTTTGATTGTGCCTCTTAATTACAATTAACAATAATCTTCTCCAGATAGCTTCAGCTTTAAAAAATGTGGGGAGCCTGGAGAGTTTATTTAAGAGATAATAGGATATCTTATGGAATAGATTAAAAATAGGTGTCAGGAATTTAAGGGAATCAAAAACCCAGAAGCCCTTTCTCTTTCTCCTCCTCCTCTTACTATACACATTTGCTTACTCTAGTCTCCTGCTGCAGACTCTCTGCTCCACAGTGGAACCTGTCAGCAAACTTCACAGTCCAGCCACTAGTCCTGATTCCAAATTCACAGAAGAGGAACCGGATTGGTGTCACTTAATTTAACTCTGTGTCCTGGTCCAGCTACTATGGTCTGGATAACACCAGTGTGGGAGTCATGCAATTATTGAATCAGGGTGCCAGAGGAAGAAGGGGGGACACCCTGGAGAACACCTACTTTGATGTCCTCTCTGACAGCATATTTCAAGATGAAAAAGAATCAATCATTTTTCCATACACATGTGTGAACCAGTGAGCTCAAGACAGTGCCCACTGGTGCCTGGAGCCATGAGTGGATCTTCAGCACATCTTGAGCTCTGAGAGCTCTGAGAGGCTCACGTGTCCTTCCTAGTCAGCCGGTATTCCCACAGTTGATTGGCCAATGACCTAAGTGGTCTTACTTATCCCCTAGTGCGTTTGAGAGCATGGGTGGGTTTCACAGCTGCTCCTCTCTCCTCAGATGCATTCCTTACGCCTGCTCAGCCAGAACCAGCCATCTCAGATCTTCCTGAGCATGAGTGACAACTTCAGGCCTGGTCAGCCACTCAACAACCGCTGCATCCGCACCAACATCAACTTCAGTTTACAGGGGAAGGACTGTCCAAACAACCGAGCCCAAAAGCTTCAGTATAGAGGTGGGTGCAGGGGCTCAGAGAGCAATGGGCTCAGCTCCCAGCTCGATCCTGCTTGGATCTGCTCTGAATGACATGCTGAGTCAGGCAAGACAGCCCTTTTCAAACCCATTTTACAGAAGAACCCGGAGAGGCTGATTTACCCAAAGTTATCTGCTAGAACAACAGTTAGTGCATACAGATCTAAGGTTGTGTGCAAGTTGAGGCCTTTTCTCCTCAGAAGGTGACCAGATAGATACTTGGGAGTGCCAGACACTGGGATCCAGTGATATAATGTGTGTGATTGTATCTTGGTCCTCTTCTGTGTCCCTGGAAGTGATTATTATAGTTACCAAAGAGGCCATTTAAGGTAATTCCTACCTACAATATTAAGGTAATTCCTACCTACAATAACCCTCTGGTCTACACTAGCCACTGATTTATAATACCTGTCGGTCACTGTCATAACCCTCATCATAGGAAGAAAAATGGAGGCAGAACAGTAGGAGTCAGGACACCTGAGTTCCAGCCTCATTTTGTCCCTAAGTTACCATGCCAACCCAGCCAAGTCATTACTCCTGTAGACCTGGCTCCTCCTTCAGGCACACAGGGTACGACAGTCTAAACCAAGAAGGCTGGAGGTTCAAGTCCACCCAAGGCCGGGTGATCTGCTTCCCAAAAAAATCAGCCCCTGGGAACCCTGGGGAGCCCAGTTCTGCTCTGGCACACTGGGGTCCCCATGATTTGGAATTGACTCTACAGGACCTGGTGGTGTGGGCCCCATCTACTTGATAGCTTATTGTGATTTGCAAATGAGAGCCCAGATGGGGAAGGCCTTGGTAGCAATCATGAGCTGCCCAAATGTGTGTGTGTGGAGGGGGTTGGGGGGGGAGAGGCTATTATCATAGAAACAGCTACCACCACTTCCCCAAGGTCCCCCATTGGGTCTCTCCTTGTTAAGTGCCATCCGGTCGGTTCCGACTCATTGTGACCCTTTATAGGATTTCCAAGCCTGTAAATCTTTGCAGGGAGCAGAACACTTCATCTTTCTGCTTCAGAGCAGCTGGTGGTCTCGAACTGCAGACCTTGTGGTTAGCAGTCCATTGTTTATCCTACAAAGCCACAGGGCTCCCTCACCGACTTCCCCTATTTTTCCTCCTTCAGACACACTAAAGAATGTCAAAACTGTAGGTTCTCTGCTCCCTCAGCCAGAATTGCCAGGCAAATAAATATCCAATGTCATTCAGTGATCCTTCTCTTTATGCAACACATATTTACTGTGCACCTACGAAGGAGCTCTGGTAGCGTAGTGGTTACGAATCAGGCTGCGGGCTGCAAGATCAGCAGTTCAAAACTACCAGTGGTTCCATGAGAGAAAGATGCGGCTTTCTACTCCCATAAAGATTTACAGCCTCGGAAACCCTGTTACACGGTCACTATGAGTCGGGACTGACTCCATGGCACATAACAACAACAACTACATCTCTGGATAAGCACTGGACTGATAACAGGGTCACTGTGAGTCAGCACCAACTCCACAGCACACAACGTGTCTCAGAAGAGGAAGGGGAAACAGTGGTGATGCAGACAGACAAGATCCACACAGACTTTCAGTCTAGACAGGGGTCACTGAAGTTTTCCTTAAAAGGAACAGCTACTAGTAGCTGTTTGGGGTGGCTTTGCAAGGCAAAACAGTCTCTGTTGTTCTCTGTCATTGTAGAAGTGGAATAGCCATAGGCACTATGTAAATTAGTGAGTGTGGCTGCATCCCAATAAAACTTTATTTACAAAAATGAGCAGGAAACTAGATTTGGGCCTCAGGTTGTAGTTTTCACACCTCCTGGACTGCATGGTCGGTTCGGTGGTTCAAACTCACCAGCCACTCCTTGGAAATCCTATATAGGGTCACTATGGGTCAGAACTGAACAACAAACAACACCTACTCTGGGTGAACTAGAAGTTTCCACTGGAACTTTCTGCAATGAATGAAAGGGCTGTATATGTCTAATACAGTAGGTATTGAGTACTACAAGTGTAGCTAGTATAATTGTTGTTAAGCGCCATCAGTTCCGACCCATAGAGACCCTGTGTAGGGTTTCCAAAGAGCAGGTGGTGAGTTTGAACTGCTGACCTTGTGGTTCAAACTAACCTTGGGGTCCAGCACATTATTCTGCAGCACCATATCAGGAATCTAGCTAGTCTAATGGGGGTGTGCTACATAGGGTTTCCGAGGCTGTAAATCTTTTGGGGAGCAGAAAGCCTCATTTTCCCCCCACAGAATGGCTGGTAGTTTCAAACTGCTGACTTTGAGTAGCAGCCTGACTTGTAATCACTACTCTACCAGAGCTTCTTAGCTAACATAATAGTGCAACCAAATTGTAAATTTTATTTTTTATTCACTTAAGTTTATGGTCACTAAGTACTGGACCACAAGGTGGGTTTGAACCGCAAGGTCTGTGGTTCAAACTCACCAGCTGCTTCTTGGAAACCCTATACAGGGTTGCTATGAATTGAAACCAACTCGACTGCACTTACCAACAACATGTGCTGAGGAATTCTGATGGTGTGGTGGGTTACACATTGGGCTGATAACTGCAAGGTCAGTAGTTCAAACCCACCAGCCGCTCCACAGGAAAAAAGATGAGGCAGTCTACTTCCAGAAAGATTTACAGCCTCAGAAATCCTGTTAAGCATTTCTACACTGTCTGAGTCGGAATCGACTTGACCACAGCAGGTTGGGGTTTTGTTTTTGGTGCCTGTGGCTAGTGGCTGCCATACTGCATAGCACAGATCTGGAGGTAGAGGAGGGTAGTTGGGATACGCTAAAAGTAAGTAGGCTTTTACAATACAATCTCTCTTCCCTTTTAGAGTAAGCGCCCCAAACTTAACACAAATGAATCCAATTATGCCTTGTTTGGTATTATGGTTGGTTTGTTTTTTCTTTCTCTCCAGTAAATGAATGGCTCCTCAAGTAGGGAACTAAGCCAAGAAGAATCGCACCTCAGTGAAATGCTACAACTGTGAATCGACGTAACCTAGAATGTTCCCTTTCTTTCTCCTCTCTCCTTCCTTCCCTCAAGCCTCATTCACTCTTGGGATTGGCCCTTCCTTCATAAAAGTGTCTGCAAAACCATGGCAGAGAAATAGATCTCTCTCTCTCTCTCTCTCTCTCTCTCTCTCTCACACACACACACACACACACACACGTAAGCATACCTGCACACATGCACACATATGTAAAATAACCACAGACACACACTCACATATATGTAAACATAACCGCACGCATATATAAACACATATGCATATGCATATATGTAAGCACACCTACACATGCACGGATGTGTACGCATATCTGCACATATGTAGATATACATGCATACACACATGAGTAGGCATATCTACACACATACACATTCACACAGCCTCCATGTTGGGAAGTCCAGTTTCAGAAACAGAAGGTTCATGCATAAGAGGTCTTAGAAGAACGTCACTTCAGTTAACCCGGTTACAATTTTAATACCGTTTTCCTGAACTAATTCCATTTACCCAATGAGACTTTCCAGCCTTTGTACATACAAAATTCTTCCAAAAGTGAGAGAGGAGGAAACAGCTCTGACTACATCAGTGGACTTTGTTCTTCACATCACGTCATCTCAGATGGTGTCCTGGGATCCTGTGGGTGCTGGTGGAGACAGAATTTTCCAAGGACACTTATTTCTAGATTATGATTCTTCAGTTTACTCCACAATTCAAAACGAAAAAGGACAGACATTTGAAGAGATACACATTGTATATAGATCACTGCAGACTATAAAGAAATGGAATTATTTCCCTCTTTGTCACATATCTGTAGTAGGATTTGCCAAGATCAAAACTGATCCATTTGCTGTTTTCTTGTTTTCCAAAAAGTCATATATTGTGTTTGGTTATTGTTAGCAGCTCAATAAATGTGTTTAACGCGTTCATTTCATTTTTCTGGCTTCGATCTGTTCTCCTTCCATACACAGGCGAAGCCCTGGCTCCATGCAACTGCATTCTTTGGTTTCACTTGTTTCTTCATTTACATGTTTGGTTCATTTGCAGCCAGTTCTTACTGAGTTTGTAGCAATCAGGAATGCATTTGCTAAGCAAGTATACCTTTAATTCCACTCCATGGCTCGATCATTATTCATCCGGGGTGAGCTTCAGCCTGAGGTAGCAGGCGACAGATTTCTTGCGTTTCGAAACTGCCATCCCCCCCACCCCTGTGATGCTCCCTTGAAGGAATGCACTTTGCCTTGTAAATTCCTGGGAAAGGGGGGTGTCTTTTCTCTCCAGGTGCAGTGGGATCTCACAAAGTACAAACGAATGCCTTTCTTTTCTTGTTTATAATGGTCACTCACTGTGTTTGGTTACTGTCAAGAAATCAATAAATGTGTTTAACAAGTTACCCAGGACCCATGTCTGAGTTTATTGACGAGGAGGAAGCTCCCTGCTGAAGCCTCTAAGTCCTGCTGGGTCCATAAGCAATTGCATTATGTCCAGCAGGGTGGCCAGAACAGCCTGTCTGGCCTTTCCCAGAGCCAGGTAATTAATACCCTGTTGAGAAAACATATAGGCTTAGCTGGTGGGAGGGAAAACTTGGACGATGGTTCGGTGGCCAAATTAAAAATAACTTCATCTCTTCCTTTTGTCGCAGTCTCCAGAAAGAAGGAAAGTGCAAGTATGTTGAGTCTGTGCAGATGGGAATAGGCACAAGCATCCCAAACACGGGAGCCCAGAGACTGGATGTTTTCACGATGGGAAATTCAGATACCCAGTTATTGCCCATTTGAAATCACATCCTACCTGGATTGTTTTCTTTCTTTCACTTTCTGCACCAGTGTACGTTAACTGTTGGTTTTAGTCATGATGATCTCTGAGGCGCTTTCTGAGTAATTGTTTTTTCCCAGAAAACCAAATCTGCATGAAGAAGTTTACAGTAGGCAGATGCCAGTCTTGATGTGGAATCCCACCACTGTGTGGCATGCCATTTCCTCTCTGACTCAGAATCTTCCTTAGTTTGCAGTAGCAAGTGATATCATTGTGGAAGAATATGGATGGTAGATTCAGCCAGTCTGGGTTGATTCAACCTCACTCTGCCTCTTGGCTACTGTAGGAGTGAAGACAAGTTGTTTTCCTTGTTCGATCGTACAGAGAACATGCCAATAACTGCCTCTGTGAGTTATGAGGCTTTAGTGCAGTGTGTACATAAAGTCAACACGTCATTCAGAGATCATTCTATACATGGTCCCTATAGGTACTGGATAGGAGACCTGGTGTGGCGCTGTAGGGTAATGCACTGGACTGCAATGTCAGTTTGAACCACAAGGTCAGTGGTTCAAGCTTCCAAGCCACTCCTTGGAAACCCTATTCAAGGTTGCTGTGGGTGAGAACTGATTTGACAGCACATAACAACAACATAGATCCCACATACGCATAGATGCTATGTGGCCTCCAGAGTTGGTTTTTCTGGGTTATAGTGTTCTTACAGGGAGGGGTTAGCATCAGTCACAACAGGGAAATAAAATGAATGATAGGCAAATAATGAGAGCAAAAGATGCCTGGCAGTGCTTAGGTAAACACAGTGTTGTTGTTAGGTGCCATCGAGTTGGTACTGACTCACAGCGACCCTATGTACAACAGAACAAAACACTGCCTGGTCCTGGGCCAACCTCACAATTGTTGCCACATTTGAGCCCACTGATGCTACCACTTAGCCAATCCATCTCACTGGGGGGGGGCTTCCTCTTTTTCTCTGACCCTCCACCTTTAACAAACACGATATCCTTCTCTAGCAACTGGTCCCTCCTGACTGTATGCCCGAAGTATGAGAGACAAAGTTTGGCCATCCTGGCCCCCAAGGAGCTCTCTAGTTGTACTTTTTCTAACACAGATCTGTTGATTCTTTTGGCAGCCCACAGCACTTTCAATATTCTCCTCCAACACCGTAACTCAAAACATCAGTTCTTCTACGGTCTTCCTTATTCACTGTCCAGCTTTCACATGCATATGAGGTTATTGAAAATATCATGGCTTGGGTCAGGTGCACCTTAGTCTTCAAGCTGACATCTTTGCTCTTCAACATTTAAAAAAGGTCTTGTGCAGATTTGCCTAATGCAATTATGTCGTTTAATTTCTTGACTGCTGCTTACATGAGTGTTGACAGTTGATCCAAGAAGAATGAAGTCCTTGACAACTTCAATCTTTTCTCCATTGATAAGAATGTTGTTTATTGGTCCAGTGATAATGGATTGCATCTCAATGTAAAGAGATGGCATCTCTTTACATTGAGATGCAATCCATACCAAACACTGTAGTCTTTGATCTTCATCAGTAATACAGTAAATACAGTGTAGTTGTACCCTATAAACAAGGTAAGCAGGGGTTTACTTACTTACCCATAATGAGCAATTTCACTTTTTTTTTTTTTTTCCACTACATCAGAGATTCTGCTTCTAGAAGCAGGGCTGGCATCTGTCTCTCTCCTAACCCACAGCTCCTTGCTACAGAATCAAAGCCTCTTTTCAAAGTTGCAATCTCTGACAGGAATGGAGGACCCAGAGGGTAAGTGTGGTGATAAATATGTGAAACTGTTCACTGCAGATTAATAAGCAAGCACAGGAAGTCCGTTCACTCTGGAGTAAATGCCTAAGAGTATGTTGGGGCCAAGACAAAGACCGGTAGGTATAGAAAGAAAGCTCACAGATCAGAAAGGAAGGTTTAAGGGATTGGGTTTCTAGACCCTGTTCTGCCTCCAGCTTCCTGTGTGACTGTCTGCAAGTCAAGGACCTTCCCTGTGGCTGCATCCTTACCTAGAAATGATTTGGACAAGACGGCCTCCCGTGGCTTTCCACTCTGTTAGTCCTGAGTCTACCTCTCATTCGGCTGTCAGTCCTGGGAGGACAAAGTCTCTATCCTCTGGGGCTTGGGACGTGGGCAGAATTTTATCTTAGTTCAAAGGAACTTGAACTGGAGTCACATGGCCCCCACTGTCCACCTCTGGGCCAGTCCTAAGTGCCTTTTCTTGAAGCTCACTATATCCCCAAGTGTGAAACAGAAATTCAAGTGTTCAGCTCTCCAACCAGTCCAGTGTTTCTGGTAACCACAAAGTCAGCAGTTCAAACACAACCACCACTCTTGGAAACCCTATACAGGGTCACTATGAATTGGAACCAACTTAATAGCACTTAACAACCACGCTCCAATCATAGGAAGGTAGCAAAGATTGATTATATTAATACCTCTGTAAAACAAGTCTTCAAAGCCCCTGAGGTTTGGCCTGGTGAAGACATCAAAGGACAAACATGTACTATACAGTCACTCCGCTATTCAGGAAGGGTGAGGGGCACTTATGGGTGCAGGGCACACAGCCCAATTCCCAGTTCCCTCCTGAGCAAAAAACAAAGGCAGAAAACAGCCAAGGCCACTTGGGACCTTGTCCCCTCTGTGCGTACACAGGAGTTTGGTTTCCATGGTGATGTCAGAACACGCGCAAGTCACTGCACTAAATGCATCAGGCATGTAGCACAGGATAACGTGAGAGTAACAGGGAGACTGGACCAGAAAGACCTCCATCATGGTGAGAATCCTCAGCAAGCAAGGTAAACACGGGCTTACTTGCACTTACTATAGTAATCTGTAGTAAATCATGTCGCCTGTTTTAATCACATCAAAATTTCTGCTTCTAGGTATGACTGCCATCTCTCTCCGCCCCCTAGCACCTCTGTACAGACTCAAAGTGAATTTACAATCCCTGACAGGGATGGAGCCAACAAGGCAAGCGCAGACTTATTTGTACTTACTTGCTGGTCGATGGTGGTGGCAATGGTGTGCCATGGAGTCAGTTCCGACTCATAGCGACCCTGCATAGGGTTTCTGAGGCTGTAAATTTTTACGGGAGCAGAAAGTCTCATGGTTCTACCATGGAATGGCTGGTAGTTTTAAACTGTTT